TGCAGGATATTTTCATCAATACGCAAGAAGTCCATAATCATAACACTAGGCATAGTGAATTTAATTATACATTACCAATGCCAAATACTAATGCTATGAAAAAATCATTGGCCTACAGAGGTGCCGAGACTTGGAATGCTCTCCCAATTGACCTAAAGTCGTTAGGAAGTATAGCAACTTTTAAGAGTGGGGTAAAACAATGCAGATTGATATAATGTTAAGTCATAAAAAATTTTTATATTTATAGTAGTTAGCACACGGCCTATTGGAAGATCACTTTTTTCTGGTTGATTTTGTAAATAATATATTTTTAATATAATGTGAAATAGTACCGTGTTTAAATAAAGTTGAAGTTGAAGTTAAATTGAGTTTAGTCTTAAGCGACTGATATCATGAACAGTGAGAGAAGATAATTTTATTTCGCCGGGTAGGGTGTTCCATAGCGGTACAATTATATTGAAAAATAGATTTCGAAATAAGATTTTCTTTATTGAAGATGTTTTGTTTAGAAGAAGAATTATTTAATTTGGATATTTTGTTTAATTTTAATAGCTTCACCAAGAGTATAGCTACACATAGTTAATACTAATACATCACAACAACATATTGAGCCAATTAATGTATGCTTGAATGGCAAACACATGCTGCAAATTGCCTATAGTCTTTGCTACGAAACTTGTGATATTGTTCCAAATTAGTAATATCAAATATTTCCTATTGCGGTGGTCTGAACACCAAATTTCGAGAGTAAAACCAGGAAACAAATTTTATGCGGACTTTAACGGTGTCGAATATATATAAAATTGTTTCTAAGGCTGAAATAAGTGTACTTCCGAGAATTCACAGAGTTTTATTGCCAACTTTGTTCTTGACTTACTTGTTTACATTTTCCAAAAGTATCTTTATTGCGTCTTTTCCAGAATCTCGTATCTCTTGGATCAATATGATGTCATAACGATTGATTATCTGCAACGTCAACAAATAATCATGTCTAACAATATTGAATCAATATATCATAACGATTTACCATCTGCGTGAAGTTGAGGAATATAATTACGATGGTTAAACATTAAGCCAATATAAGATCATTGATATTGTGCCGAGTAGACAACTAGAACTCCCTTCGTCGCCACGGGATCTTTATTCCCCAATGTACCTAACGGAACAGGTGGGGAAATTGTTTTTATAGAGTGTGGTAGAGAAAATGAGTTTGTGTTCGGAACTTACAATCACAGCACCTATAGCTCTATCACTGCTTGCCTTCTTGGCCTAAGTTTTCCATTGGCTTAACTCAACCCTTCCGACCTCATTCCGTCATGAATGAAAATTTACATAACTCATCTACAGTAGCCTGTGTACAGCCGTAAATTCTCCCGTAATTAACGTCGTTAATTACAGGATAATTTACGGCTGTACACAAGCTATCTGAACAGGGGCTTTGGGGGGGGTTTCAAAGTTGCAGGTGTCCCATCAACTACTGTACCTTGCTTTCTGAGGAGAGAAGAGCCTCACGCAAACTATAAACTTCTATGCTATGAACGGTCAGTAGCTATAATCTGCAGACCAAGACAAAATGCAGAATAAAATGCGGATGAAATTGCAGACTTGGTATAAAATGCAGACTAAAAAAGCGTATAAAACTACACATTACATCAGTTTTAAAAATTACGCAACTTCCCCTAATAAATAATCTAAGACTAAGTGAAAACGTTAGTTTTATGTCACGAGAACTGCTAAATATAGCAAACGTAAATAAAAGACATTTTAATTTAAACGAGGTAGTAATCTTCGAGTTAAGCCCTTCGAGCTAAGCCTAAGCCCTTTTCGAGTTAAGCCCCGACCACGCCCAAACCACAGCCATTTTCGGAAAGGGCTTAACTCGAAGAAAGAAACACAACTTGGAAAGTTCGAGTTAAGCCCCGTGGAAAAAGAGGGGCTTAACTCGAAGTCATTGAAAATATTCGACGCTTGAGTTAAGACATTTGAGGCATGTAAAAGTGCAATGATTTGAGTCGCCTACAATCTAGCTGGAAATAGTTATCATACTTCTCGGCTTAAATAAGCTGCAGCCTAAATGAGTGACGAACAACTCGTATAAATAGTAAATTTCATTAAGCAACAGATTATTCTGAACTAGCTTTTATACCTCTGAGCTTATTACGAATAAATTGACTGTTTACGCGAAGTAAAACCGCGAGGTCACAAGAAAATGCTGCTGTACGATACGGCTAAAGGTGGAAAACGACAATCATCAGAATGAACATGTAGAATTTGGCATACAAACCTTGACAAGAATATCACGAACATTATTTTTTGAAATCTTTGTCTGTCCAAAGACCTGAACATTAAATGCAGCCACTTTCACGGCATTAACTGCCTCAGAGGTCGATATTCCCAAGGTTGTGATAACAGCCAGTATCGTAATGAAGTACGCCATAATGTTTTCGAAAACTTCAGTCGATCTCACTGAAATACGGCCTGTGAAATGTAAATGAATAAGTCAATTAAAATAAATTATTTAAGGCGTTTTTATATAGAGGCGAGATCCTGGCAAGGCAAGTTACCCAACAAGGGAAGCAAATTTTGCGCCACTGCAACAGTATATAATCGATACGAATCGTTTCTGACCAAATCATGTTTTTTATTCTCAATTTTATTTCTGTGTGTGTCCGCAGGTGAGAGTCCTTGATAAGCAAAATGCTTTTGACTCAAACTTGCAATCTTGTTGTAACTATTTTTTTCCTTTTTGTTATTAAAAATGTTTATATCAAGGCAACTTACCTGGCAAGGCGAGTTACCCGGTAAGGGAGTTATCCGCGGCAAGGTAAGTTATTCGGAAACGGTGAGATCCCGGCTATTATAGAAAGCTTTCCCGGGTGACTGCGTTTACAACAAGATGAAAACCTAGACTTACTATATAGGCCTATATTATACTCAGTCAATTTTTTTTTAATTTGTTTGTTAAAACAGGTTTATTGCTGCCGAAGGCAGCCTCCTATTCTTGACGATGTGTTATAGCGCATTTGAATTTCCCGCCAACAGTATTATATACTGCAGCGTATCTCGATTTTGTGTCGGCAGTTGTGACGTCAAATTATGACGTTGCAGAAAGGAATTTACATTGGAGAATTATCATACCCCAGGAGTTTACGATAGCAAGTCGACAACTGCCGAATACTTTGTTCAGCGATATGCGAACGACGTACCAAGAATGGCGTTTAAGAATATTTCGATCTGCAGCTT